GGTCACGTGACCTTCAGGGGTCACGTGAGGGTCACCTTGGGGGTCACGTGACCTCGGGGGGTCACGTGACCTTGGGATGACCTTGGGGTCACGTGACCTTGGGGGTCACGTGACCTTGGGATGACCTTTGTTACGCCGACGGCGACGCCGCTCAAGCCGGAAACGGGTGCCTAAGAGCTGCGCTCTAAAAGTACTGCTGGAGACGCCAGCAGGTGCAGCGCAATGTTCTCGGCGTTCCTTGATGCTTAATGCCGGTTCAGACACTTGCGTTTGAATGCGTTTGACAGCGTTGCGTCGAGAACCGAAAGCGAGTCACCGGCGCATATGTGCTTCGTATGAAGCGTGGAATCCAATTCAAGGAATCATCTTAGCAAGCGATATAAGCAGCAGGGATGTCCTGGTTTCTCGCTGCCGCGACGCAGTCAGACGCAGTCGAACGCAACTGTCTGAACCAGGCTTTAGATAATTTAGCATACGTATTTCGCGTTCGTTGCGGGTGAAGGCACGGGCCCGAAAACGGCAATTCTGCACTCTCGTCTTGGCGCGAGCGCGAGCGCATAGAACGCATATTTGAAAAACACGCGCTTGAGCAGAAACAATTGTAGCGAAAAGAAGGAAACTGAAACAACGCTTCGGGGAGGACCGGCAGACGGGCTTCGCCAGAATAACTTGCGCGTGCTCAGTGTACCCAACATTTACTCAACCGCCCCTGAAGTCATTCGGATATGTAAAAAGAGAAAAGAAAATGCATCAGCATGTTCAGAAAGTTGTGATTGCAGAAATTGGTTTCGATAATTAATACAATTAATTAAACAGGCCTACACTTGGAAGTGTAGGCAAGCGAGAACTTCAAACTTCAAAACGTGACATGTAGTGACTATTCAAATTGATTTATAACCTGGAGTTTACTTTTGCAATGGATTACATTAGAGATACGAGTGCTTTCCCAAGAACAGTAGAGGAAAATAATATATAAGGATAAATCTTGCACAGTCTATTCGTATTTATGCAAAATATGACAGTGGTCACCATCCTAATTGGTCACAGAGTATACAGCGGTATATAAGCTGGTGGTGTCGACTAGTCGTGTGTATAGGAATAGCGTCAATATATAATGTTGTACCTTGTGCTGTTTGTGAACGCGTTCATGTATAATGTCCTATGGTGTCTGTATGTCGCGTATGTGTGAAGTGTGGTATGGAATATGTACGTACGTGCATGTCTGGCGAGGCACTCAGAGCAATAACTGTTGATTTCTTTTTTCCTAGTTTTAGCGCCGTTCGTTAGGTTGCGCGTGTCGCCGCCCAATTCAAGGAGTCGCGCGTTTATGTGTCTACTTATTTGAGTCAAAAACATGGAGGCTTTTCATAGCTCCTCGGAGCAGCCACAAAGGGTTCGGTTCTCGGCCTCTCGTCCCAGTGGGATCAGTCCCATAGCCAGTTGGATGGGTCTTCCGTGCGGCGAATAGTGCGTGCACAGACGCGGCGCGGATTACAGAGACTTCAAAGTGGATAACGAATGCTAGCAGGTGAGCAAGAGCGTTGAACGATCGGAACCGACGCTGCTATAATCGGTGATGCTTTGCCTCGCCACTGTCAACCGGAAACGCCAGATCACTTGCGGCAAGCACAGCAAGCAGATTCTCTGTTCAATAAAGACATCATTCCATTTGTCGCTATACGATTCCTTCTTTGAATGTTTTCTGGCCGCGCGAAAGCAGTCGCGGACAAACCCCCTCGAATGTCCCCCCTCACATCGTCGCCCCTACTCGTAATAGGTGCGGCGCTGGTGCTTCGAGGCGCGTTTTGGAGTGCTTTAGCGCGCACGGAAGGCAGCGAACGGGCGTACGCACTTGAGAATCGTATTTTAGCAAAAAGCAGTCCAGCTCGTTAGGCCTTACTAGTATTGCTCCACTGTCGCTTGCCAGCCGCCATGTTGCTTTTGGGGGTGGTCACTCTGACTACCTTTTGATTGCGTAATACTAACGACCCATGGGGTCGTTAGTATTACAAAGGGGGGGGGGGGGGGGAAGGGTAGCGATATCTGTGACGGCTTCTGACTACCATAAATGTAGTACGTTACGACTACCCTTTTGTTGAGAGTGTACTTTGGAAAGCTGTGCTCTTGGAGTAAACTTTCTGTTGTTGGACTTGTTCAAGTTGGTGACATTTCAGGAAGTTCATAAGTAGTCCAGGTCTGTAATCAAGTACGTAAATAACTCTCACGTGGTTGCGGCCCGCTTTGCAAAGAGGCAAGAAGAGTGCTATGCTGGAGATCATACAACACTTAAGTCACCCGCTGAAACTCGTTGGGCAGTCATCTCGATATCACTGGAGGGTCTTAAGAAGAACAAGGAAGGTTAAAAAATCGTTAACGCCAGTGAGGTAGAGAAATAAAAACAATGGTTATAGAAGAATATTACTCCAGGCAAAATGTGCGGAGCGCTTTCCGCGTGTTGAAGCAAGTTGGTCGCGCTATTTCCGTCTCCGAGTCCGGCACTGCTGCTCTGTCAGATGTTCACAAAATCTCGTTTAAAGGAAAAAGACAAGTCGAAGAGGCCCTTCCAGACTCTGCCTTGACTACCAACGAAAAAGAAAGAGCAGTAGAAATCCTGCGTGAACGACGCAACTTTATTTGTCGTCCAGCGCATGCGATCGCATATCTTCTTAACCCAAAATACAGGGGACGGTGCTTGAGTAAAGAAGATGTATGCCATGCAATGGATTACATCACCGAAGTGGCAGAGAGGTTAGCCCTTGATGCGGGAAAGGTACTCTCCAATCTCGCTGAACAAAAAACTCTGCCATGTGCGTGGTCAAGGAACGAATTGGGCGAATCGGCAAAGCATATTCAACCATCCACGTGGTTACCACAGCAGTGCGCATCTGAGCCCCTGACACTAATTGCAGGTCGCCTACTTTATGTTCCACCATCCACCGCTGCGTGGGAACAAAACTGATCGAAGTTCCACACTCTCCACACAAAAAGCAGAAGCAGGCTTAAGAGAGATAGTGCGAAAGCTGGTGTTCGTGCACTCCAACCTCAATTTGAAGGGTCTTGATCTCATATATGACGACGGAAATGACTTTTGCAGGGAGTCAGAGTAGCCCCCATGAGCCTACTGCCTCGGAATGTGCTTCCTGCTTGAGAGAGTGAATCTAATAAGCAAATATGTACTTAGTTAATCGTTGTTTGTTTCAAGTTTGATTGTGTCTTGTCCGTAATATTTACAGCTGTACCCTTGGAAGAAGGGGAGTTGAGGTAATATATCAACGTTCAGCTTGCGCTGTTCCTTATAACAATTATGTATTGCTTTTACTTGAATGATTGACATGAATTAATAGTTCGTCAAGCATGATCTTATCATCCTCAAAGGTATGCATTTGTCGGGGCAGTAGTGAATGCTTCATTGTGTATCATGCGAACAATGTATTCGCTCACTAACATCGGGTTCTGCTGTTGACAGAAAAGTCGGGGCCGTATTCTTTGGGAAACATGCCATGGATGACGCGTAAAAATTTGCTTCTTAGATGCATGCACACATTACAGCAACAAACTTCAAACATTTGTATAAGTAATAGTCCCTTTATTTTAAGCGTTTTCAAAACTTTTGATTTAACCTTTTTGAAAACGTTTTGCTATACTGGCACGCGAACAACGTCGGACAGCGAAAAATGGTATATAATTTGAAGCGCAGCGCAAGCAACACCACCAAAGAACGAGGAGCACACTACCACAAGCGCTTCAGCTTCCTACGTCACACCGCTATTGTACTGTTTGTCTTTCTTATCGACTGAGCAAACCAATATACAGAGCTTCGTGATAAAAAATTATATCCAATTTATTTGTCGGCGAAAATAACGCGTAGAAAGCTCGAGCTCCGCGATAATTTGGTGATAGCGATGGTGATCGAGTGCGAAAGTTTGAGAACATGACGTTACCCGGATCAAAAATAAGACCGGGAAACAGAGTTTCTTACGCCTGAGAAACATCAAAGCGAAAAATGGGATTCCGGCTCCATGCGCCATTTTTTTCAATGCAAACACCTACCAGAAAACAAGAAAGCAATACTGCCTTTCTTGCTGTAGTGTTTTTAAGGAAATAAATGTCACAGGCTCTCTCCCATAGTGCCCTCTTTTTGGTTTAAAATATACTATCTTACGTGGATGTTGGCTGAAGAAATGTTCTCGCCTGTTTTATTTTTTGATAAAGATAACGTAATGTTCCCAAACTTACGTATTTCATCACAACTACTAGCGCCGCATTCTCAAGAATTTCCAGCTTTCTGCGATGTGCAATTCATTTATGCCAGCCGGACAACTGGGTTTTATATTCTCTAAAGAACCCGGTATTTAGTAGACTATGATTATTATTCTTCCACCTGCTTTCTCAACGAAACAAAATGAAGATTTGCGTGCCATCGCTATTTTTAGTTGCGACAGAATCATTACTTTCTATGTCGACATTCGCTGGCAAATTTAGCTTAGCAGGTTTGTTATTACTTGAATAAACTGAATCTTGTTTTTTTTTCGGTTTTTGTGTCCAGAAAATAATAACCTAAAAAAGCTTTCTTCTTTTTTTCAAAATTCTCGTTTTTTTTTTTTTTTTTTAGCCCTCGCATCTCCACACTGAAGTCGCTTTCGACCGGTTTCATCTGACGGCTTCACATCTGATATCAGCTTCCTCAGACCAACGACAGCGAACAACGTATCCGACAAGATCCGGCCAATGCTCCTGCTCAGCTTGGGCCAGCCACTGCCAGGGCGCTGCCATCTTCCCTGTAACGTCACGTTTCTGTTGGTTTGGTCACGTGACGAGTAGTCACTTTTGTGTGCAATGGCAGCGGCCTGGGGGGAAGGAGGGGGGGGGGGGGTGGTCACTTCTGCGTGCAGACCGGAGCCCCAGTTTATCGCTCTAGGCTCCTCTACCTCGTTGGTTAGACCTATTTGGCTCTCGCTGTGTGGTCAGAGAACACCAGGAAAAGAGTCAGATTCCGGTGATCATGGACAACCGGAAGTTTGTTTCGAAACGAGGATGCGAGCAGATACCTTGAACTGCTCCTCTCGGATGATGTCGTTCTGTATCTCGCTTATGACAATCACGGCCGTGAAGACAAGGACGAGCGCGACGAGGCCCGCATCGGCCACCTGGACGAGCACGAGGGTGAGGATGAGGAAGCTGATGAGCAGCGAGCGCACCCTGGTGCCGAAGCGCCGAAGCATGAAGAAGGCGGCCCGGGTGTACACCAACGTCGCCTCGCGCAACACCAGTGCGAACGAGAAGTACAGGAACTTTTCCAGCACGGGTTTCTGAGAAGGGCGACAAACACGTACAGTCACGATCAGAAGTAATTGGAACACGGGAGCGCTGGCCCAACTGCATTGCAGCGCGATCTAGCCGCGCTCGTAGGAACTGATAGGAGACTAAGCGCATGCCTACCTGCCGGCGTCGACAGTCCCTCTGCACAGATCTATCTATTTCATTTACCGGCGGTGCAAATAATCCTTCGCTGCTTCTCAGATACAGCACTGCAACCGTGATGGCGTTGATAGCGTCCGTCAGCGTTACGAGGACGCTCCCCGCGAGCGCGAACTGAAGAAACGGGTACACTCTAAAGCGGTTCGGTGCTGGTTCAATGACGCGGCAAACGCTGCGTGACGCATCGCTTCGTAGAAAAGGTCTTTAAATTGTTCTCGAGTAGATAGCAACGCCAGCTGCAGAAAATTACTCCCAAAGTTGACAAAGACCATTAATTCCAAGCAACGAACAGCGTTTTTATTTTATTTGTGTCAAGATAAGATATTAAAGATATATTATAGACATTAAAGAGCGCGGGAAGCGTACCCGCTGTCTGCTATTAGCGCCATCGGGGACGTAGCGTTGCGTCCCAGAAGCCGTAAAGAACGATTCGAACCGCCGGTAAAAGGAATAGGTCGAGAGAAGCGGAGAGGCCATCGGTGCCGGCATGCACGCATGCACGTAGTCTCCTATCAGTTCCCATGAGCGTGGCTAGATCGCGCTACAATGCAGTTGGGCCCAGAGCCGCTCCCGTGTTCCTATTACTTCTGATCGTAACTGTACATAGCGCAACACTGTTAGCATGAACAAACAATTATCACCACCTATTTTTCGAAGAAGAAGACTGTTTCATTAACCTGATTTTATGAAAACGTGCAAAGCTTTAATGGAACGTTTGACTGTAATAAAAATTCAATATCGAAATGCGTTATATCCATTAAAGTAATACAAAGTGTATAGAAAACTATATAAAACAGGTGAAAGAAGAAAGATTCTGGCGGGATTTGAACCCCCCCCCCCTCTCCCCCCCATAATAAGATTATGACCCAAGTGTTTGACCCACCGCATTAGTGTGAAAAAAGTTTTCTCGCATGCGAAAGCAAACGACTTTGTGCATCTCCCGGGCAGGCACTGTCAGGCTGAGGAGCGGTGCGCAGCCGCAGTCACGCGCCGCGCGGCATTAAACACGCGTGGGAGAATCAGGATGGCTCCTCGAGCTCCGTTCGGACAGCTTCGTCTTCTTCCGCCGTGACCACGGCTCTTACGAAGCAGATGTTCGCAGAGCGTGTGCGAGCTTATCGCGACCGTAAGAAACCGCAGAAGCAGCAGAAAGAGCCTTCACCAGAGGCCCCACAGACGGATGTCGATAAGTGTAAGGCCAATCACACATTCCGTGCTTACCACTCTTTGTAGAAATGATAAAGCTTGTATATTGTTTGCTTACCGTTTTTTGTTTATTCGATGGGTATAATTTACAGCGTTACTCTAGGTAAAAGGTCTCGTTGGGGACGCTCTGGCGAGCCATAAAACTGAGTGAGCATCTATAGTCAAGAACCTGCATGAGCAAAATAAAATACGCGCCGATGTCGTGTTCGCGTTAAAACTGTTATTCAGTGTACTCTGCACTGAGACTAATCACACGTGATTAGCAGCTCGATGCTTTGTCGGCATTGGTCAACTAAGAATTTTCCGAAACCTGGTACCTAATGAACGCGAGTCCAGTTTTCAAGTTCGGTGAAAACACCATACTGAGCTCGAGTGCTCTATTCACCAACACAGTACTTACAAACAAGCCCGCGTTCGTCCACACGGGGAGTAGGCATTGCGCGATTGCAGAACCCAGATTTTGCGTTAGGCGAAGCTTGTGCGCATGCGCAGTGCCAACGGCAGCGCCACCGCAGTGGTGTGACGTCAGACGCTTGAGTTGGTCTATGGTTCATTTTAACTATTCGTGTTTTTTTTTCCATTTTCTCGTACGTGGCTCGAAATGGTTATGATGCTCTCGTGCTGACATAGCAGCTAAAGGTAACGTGACACATCCACTTTATCGGTATACGTATGAAGCAGGGCTATGCACATGAGCTCTTTAGGGTCACTCGGACATTTTTCTTTAAATTTTAGGGTCACGACAATCTTTAGCGAATGAAATGTGCCTCAATTACGAGGTCTCCGTTTTTCTTTTTTTATGCTTTTAGTAGTTTCGTAGATGTCCTATGCCAAAGTTGCATTTCGGGGGTCTATGGCGAAACCCTAATTACTCGCTCAAGAATGATGGCAACCCTTGTTATGGCCACCGTTCGACGCGAATTTAGTAACACGATGGCGTGCGTAGGATGGCACACGATGGCGTAATTGATGGCGTAAACGATGGCGTAAACGATGGACTAGGCCAGTAGTAGGTTTTGGTGTACCGCAAAACGTACTACTTGCATATTCAGAAGAGCAGTTCTGATCAGTCGGGTAAGATGCTAGGGCTCTTTTTTACTTTGCGATATAGATATCAAACATCTTAATACACAATCATAAAGATGCCGACCGAAAAGCGAGTTTGCCCCGACGAACGCAGGCTCAGAACCAGCTCACGCTTATCTTCTGTGGGCCACAATCTTGGTGGTGGGCAATGTACGTTGCAGAAGCGTTGTGGAAGCTAATTGTAAGCTCGCGTTGAGCAGGAAAGGGCTAAACAATGGCCGCCAGTGAATGCCACCTTCGGCACCACGACGCGCTTGAGCGAGCAGGGAGTCAATGTTCTTCGTATGCGATAGCCGAAAAGAACTTACAAACTACGGCCGCTAAATACATAGCAAGCACGAAATCGTCCGGTGGTATGGTTGAAAACGCAACAGAAAAACAAGACGAAAGAAGTGACGGTACTAACATGAATCCTTCAACACGAAGAAGACATCAGGGCACAAGTTGGCTTGACAAACAGCCAACCCGCTGAATGCCGGCTGAGAAGCTGGCGGTAGCATTTTTAATATTGGTTTTTTGAGTGGATCGCGGCTTCTCGTCAAGGCACTTTGGCAGTGCTCATATTTCGTCTCCGTAAATTGATATCAGTCATTTACTTTGTTTCTAGTTTTGCCGGGAGTAGCCCTTAAGGCTTTTTATCATTCAATTTTCAAAATGCAATTCTTTAGCGAGTTATTTTACGCTCGACCGACACTAACTGACCACGAAATAATATGTTTGTGAAGAGAGAAGCGCAAAAGACTAGTGCTCTGGCCGAATAAAATAATAATTTATGTCACCGGGCCCAAAAGAAATGTTTTGTCGCAATATAGTGTAATTAGCTTCCTTTCTACCGAGGCTACTTTACTTCGCAAGCTGCATCACAAAGTCAGCGCTATCTGATGATTTGAAGATCCTCGTTTGTTTTAAGCTCATGTAAAACACGGTCGACTTTCGACACACTGTCATAGAGCCTGTAACGCATGAATACCGCGGCCACTACAGCTATATGACTTCTTTACTTCGGCGAATCGCAAGTTGTAGCCCCCCCCCCCCCCCTCCCCCCCAGTCAAATTCTCCAATGCATACAAACACGGACAAACATTCTAAAAGTGCAAGTCACGGGGCATTAAGTGCGATTGGTTGGCTTAGTCGCTAATAGCTCTCACACAGAAATATTACGAATGCCGTGACATTGCGCTTTTGGTGCTGATTGGCATCGTCGTCAGAAACGTCGCCTGTGCTTCGAGTTAAGGTAAAAGAAATGTAGACTATTTCTTCTAACAATCACCCGGATCCTGAGAAACACTCAGCATGGCTTAGTATGCTTATAGGTGCCATGAAACGAATTTTGGGCTGGGATGAATGATTTTAAATTGGGACTTTACTAATCGCGTATCGTTTAGTTGGCCAAAAAGGAAGAGGGTAGAAAGTCAAAATCCAGCTTTTTGGTACGAACATTTGAAAACATAGCGGACTATTTTGTACCATCTTTCCCTCGAAATCTCTCCGCCTTTTCACTGTGATACATCCGCGGTTCCCAAAGCGCGTCAGCGGTGCCAACCTGACGTCAGCCGAGCCCAGCTCACGCATTGGACACGAGAACTGCGTCACTCGACGTATGCGCTCGTCAACAATCAATCCGACGACGAATATTTGGATTGGCGTTCGTGACCAATGACTGCCCTGGCGGAACTTATCGTCACAGGCGAATGACAAGTTCTATGGTGTGCATAAAAAGCACGGTGGAAGCTAGGAGTCATCGCACAAGTGCCGAAGAATGTCACGACGACGTGATTTCACAATTCGCGTTTGAGTTGAGGATTAAATCTAAGGAGGAAGAAGTAGGAAAATCGTTTCATGGCCCCTGTATGTCCTTTGCTTCGTGATTCGTTGTCTGGTTTTCTGATCAGGTAATGTAGCAATCTGGTTGGCTGCGTAGCGTGGGAATGATGTTCCGAGAGTCGTGGCTTGCACACGCCCTGCGTTCTTTCATCTGTCGGGGACTACGGTTGTGCGTGTGTCTTGATAAAAAAAAGAAAAAAATAACAAATAAAACACTTCTGTTTGCAGGAAGAAACATATAGCCACTTCACAGCTTGTATTTTTGCTACACGAATGAAGAAAAATCAGACACTAGTAACTGGCACATTTAAAAAAGAAAAAGCAGAGTCTGGCTTATTATGTTAACGCTTCTTGTTTCGTGATTGGTTCTTCGAAGTTCTTATCGGAGAAGGCCGCACTCTCATTGGCCGACGAGAGATAATAAGATGCCTAGACTCGCCGTGCCGAGCGTTTCTAAAGCCTGACAGTTTTAATAACACTTTAAAAAAAAAAGTATGCGCGTCTCTTTCCCGCACAACAATTGATTAGCCAATCACCGCACCTTTAGGAGGCAGCTCAGCGAATGATGGTGTCGAAACAGGGTTGGGCAGTATCGCGATACAAGTGTATCGCGATAGTATTTCAGAAATACATTTCGTATCTGTATTTCTGTATCGCGATACATTTTTTTCACCGGTATCAGTATTTCTGTATCGAAATACATTTTGAATGTTCCTTTGTATCGCGATACAATCAGAGTGAAATGTATTTCGTTACATTTCTTAAAAAATACTCCCCCCCCCCCCCAAAAAAAAAAAAAAAATTCGAACGCTTTTTTTTTTTTTTTTGAGGGCACTAGGGGTCAAGGAGATGCTGGGGCATTGTTTCCATGCTGACCAAGGTTCCTTCCGATTCTCCAAACTATTTTTCTTTCCGTCCTCTTCTCTCTTCTGAGAACTGTTGCGCAGTCGGGGACTCGAACTAGGTGGCGTGCCAGGAGTGGAGTCGGAGCATCGTGT